ACCCCAACCTAAGACAGGCACAGTTCCCGAGAGGTTCTCTTGGCTTGAAAAAATAAAAAAGTGGGACCTGTCCAGGGCCAAAGAGCCCAGTCATAGCCTGCCCAGGGTCATGAAGCCCTGCCAATAGCTCTCTGGCACTAAAGATATAAATGCTGTGACCTTTCCACCCTTTTCTCCTTCTTGCTGCTTGCATAGCCCTAGGCATAGATCACCACTGCTTTGCTTTCGATAGCTGAGAAATGTTCCATTTCCTGGAACGATTTGCCCTGTGGTTTTTCCCAGAAAACATCTGCATACTTTCTTATCTGCTGATTCCCTCCTGCTGGCTATATAAGCTGTGACCTTCTGGCTAAAAAATGAGACTTGATCAGAATACTGTCTTGTCTCCATTTCTCTCGTCTCTTGTTCCCACCAATTCCTATTCTCCTCTCCAGGGTCCGCATTGAATATCCCATGGGTCAGGACACAAAAAGTGCTTATGGATGCTTATAGTAGCTTCAGTCATATTTGCCAATCACTTCACACATTTTCTTTTCTAGACTAATTCAGCAAGTTCTGAGGTTACTTTGGGGCAGTGAAGTCCCACTGAAATTACAAATTAATGAGATGAGATAAAATGTCACAAAAAGGAGATTAAAATATGAAATATGATTATTTGACCTCATATTACCTGCAATTCTGATGATGTGGGTTGCAGAATGGAGCTTGTTTGTGATAGACTAATGGTGTCCTAGTTCTAAACCCCAAATTAGACCCAAGCAACAGTCACTGGTGGTGAGGAAGCTGGAGGTTACCACCTAATAGGGAAAAATCAGGCTCTATTAAAGTGTATTGGAGATCCTACAGTTTATGAAGTGTGTAGGACCAGCTCATGCTCCAATGCCCCCAGTCAGGTAAGTCTCTGTTCTTCCCATGGGGGACAAGGGAGAGAGTGAATAAGGGACAGAAATATTCCACTGAAGATCTCTGTTCAAGGAGAGAAGCCAGTGAATGTGAGGAGCAGTGTCCTCACTCAGCATTTACCAACCCTCATGAGAAAGGCAATTCTGTGCCTGGACACTGCACAAATTAAGGAATAATGCAATTGAGACAAAGTGGAACTTAACATGGTTTGCAGACTGCACATTTGTCTCTATGTATCATCCAAGAAAATTAAATGAGACCATTTTTCCTATACAAAAATTCCATAAACAGATTTCACTGAGGATGCACATCCCACACTTGCAACTGCAGGGATCACAATGCATCTGGACAGGGCTCTGCACCATGTGCTGCTCATCTCAGCTCACAATGGTAGTTCAGCTACAGATATATTTGGGACTTTTGGGGTATTGCAGATCTTTTTTTGCCTATATGGCATGAATGGCTTGCCCTCTGTATGCATTAACAAAGAAAGGACCCACTTGGGACTGGACTGAGAAAATAGAATGGGCCTAACATGCTACAAAGAGAGAAATACTGCACTACATGCTTTACATGTAAAGCCTTTTGAATTAGATGTACACATAACCCAAGAATGGTCAGGATGGAGGTTGTGGGAGAGAGAAGATTGATTCTGAATGCCTATAGAATTTGGTCTGAAGTCTGGAAGGGTGCCGAAATGCATTATTCCCTGATAGAGTAACAGTTAGAAGCTGTATATTCTGCCCTGATGGCTGCTGAAGCCATCACAGAAACTGCCAATGTCCTAGTAAGGATAACATACACCATACTGGGTTGGTTGCACATGTGGGCTACTGTAGATTGCACTAACATTAATAAAGCAAATATATTTCATAGGGCCTAGCCTCCAAAGCCCTGTAGTTTCAGGTATAACCTAACTTTTTAAAATTACCTATAGGAATGTTAAGCTTGCAAAGGACAGGAAACTTTCCCCATACTAACGTCTCTGTTGTAGATAAAGAATTGTAACACAGCAAAATTGCTGGCTAAAGGACAGATGTCCTTGGTGCAGTTAACCTACTGATTGATATGTTAAGAAAGTTGCTTGATTGTTATGTAAATATGCTAAGAAAATTGTTGTAGGGAAAGAAAGTTTTTGCTAAGAACAAGCTTTTGTTGGTGTACTGACTGAGCTTTTTGCTAATTGCATTATGGAATGTCACTTTGTTATTTCACTGATGTTACCAGCCTCTATTGTTAAACTATATTTAGCCATAACCTCTCCTATGTTCCTTTCCTATAACTTTCTGACCTGGAGAATAAATACTGAGAAAGAAACCCAGTCCAGGGTTAATCTTCTGAGGAGGAATGCCTCTCTCTTGGGGGTTTCTGGAAATTAACCCCTTTGGGGTTTTCACTGCCCAGAAGAAATGGGCTTTGAGTAATCCTTTGCATGTCCATCACCCTGGGGAAAGGTGACAAATGGGAGGTGACAGGCTACCAATCCCAAAACAGGTGTAGCTCAAATTCCTACTCTGTCCAAATAGGGAGCATATATAGGACAAAGAAGCACTGTGTCAATGAGTCCTCTCTCTAATGATTTGCAAACTGTGCTAGGACCAGTAGAGGTTGTAGAGGAAACCTTGACACAACCCTTACCCGTGGAGGTGAAGGCCACACCTTTCCATGAGGGACAGGAATATGTTGCAATGCAAGCTTTGTATACAGGTGGCTCCAACTCGGCATCCTCAGAATCATGGATGGCTGTTGATGTCCAGTCCTTAAAAGATACCATGTCATATGAAAATGGTACAGGGCAAAGCAGTTAGTGGAATGAATTGAGAGCAGTATTGGACGAAAGTGAGCTGAGATGCTGGGCACTGATCAAGCTTTATTAAAGGGAAAGAATCTACCAGGCTGCACCCAAAGTTGGGGGAAGACTAGGGCTGCCCTCAGAATGGAAGGCAGCAGCAACAATGGCAATGTGAGAGTTTACATAAGCTGTTGGTAGTGAAATGTATGGGGGGGAGGGACCATTATGTTGATGTAACTTGGTGGAGAACTGCACCAATGCGGAAGCTGGAATGTTGTTTCTGTGTAAGTCAGGAGGCTTCTCATAAAGGGAAGGGCAGAGAGGTTTGGTGCTGGAGTGGAAGACGAGGCCGGTGGCTATTTTGTGCTTATTGTGTGGCACAATGGTGCCAGTCACATCCAAATCCATCATTCCTGCCTTTTAAGTATAAGAAGAAGGGATATCGGGCGAAGGTCTCATTCTTCTAAAGCTACTTCCTGCTGGAGATGGGCAAAGGTATGAAAAAATTAAAAGATTTATGTTGGAGGGTAAAACAATTAGGTGGCGGGGTACTGGTTTCGTGTGGGGAGGCTGTATTCCTCCAGGGAAGGGTCGCTGGTTCTGAGGGGCTGATGTCCTCCTTGCAGGAACAATTCGGTGACCTTTTGGTTGGTGAAATCCTGTGCACATTCCTGTAAGAAATTAGAGAAACACCAAAAGAGACAGTGACCAAAGAGTAGGCCGAGTCCCAGCACAGTTAGGGGTCCTAGGTGGGGCATAAGCTTGGGTATCTAGGGGTTCAGTGAAATGGTTTAAATTGTTTTGGATCACCCCAGACTCATTTATGTAATAACAGCATTTCTCCCTAAGAAGAGGCAGGTGCCTCCCTTCTCGGCTGTAAGGAAGTAAAGGGCCCAATGGTTCTGTAAACTGACTGTCACGAGTGAGGTGACCTGTCACTGGAGGGAGGAGGTGCTGTCTATGCTCAGTTCTTCTGAGAGTTTTTTGGTAAAATTGAGAGGCAGTAGCAGGGCCCGCTGTGCCAGTCCCAGTTTCAGGAAGGATCCCTGCCACAGTTAAAAGGTACAATTAGTGCCCTATGGGAGCAGGGGCACTTCCTGAGGGGGAGCGAAGTTAGTCCCAGTCCCGTCTCCATTCCTCTTTCTGGAGGGTGATGTCAGGGACGAGTTAAAAGAACATGCAATAAATGTCATTAGGGAACAGGAAACACGATAACGTAGTCTTACAAAGGAAATATATTCTGGTTTTAGGGCATGGATGAGGAGGGGGTAAGTGAGTCGCAGCATTTGGTGTCAGTAAGGCAGAGTGTGGGCAGGCCCCACACAACGTTGACAGTCCCCACTGAGGTGACATTAGAGGAAAGTGAAGAGATGTTTGTGGAAACGTTGTGTCCTGCATCAACAGGGAGGGGGGTGACCACAAAATGTTTCTCATGGTGTGGGAGACAGATGAGTCACTCGGGGACCAGTCTGATTCATTGAGGACATCATCTTCCCTGTCCATGTTCCAGGTAAGGGGAAGCAATGAGATAGGGTTAAAAACACGGGGAGGATGCAAAGAGTTAGGGAGCCCAAAGAATTTAAAGGGGACATTGTCACACTGATATTGCTAAGAAGCATCCTACCGATAGGAGGTAAAGAAGTGCAGGAGAAACCTTCCTATAATGTTACACTCTTTGGGGGAAGCACTTGCTAATCCTGTGGCGAGTACTAGAACAGGTAGTTTAATAAAGGTTAGGGACACGGGGTGGCATATACTTATCAAGTCCCACAATGGCGAACCCATGACAGCAGGTCAGTACCAGTCTTGGAGCAGCTCCAGCGTGAAGGACGTGGATCAGGCCTGCAGGAGTGACAGGATAATCACTGGGGGAAAGATCATCCTTCTTCTGGGATTGGGGGAATAGCGAAGGTCCCGGAGATTTTCAGTTTTGTTGGTCCTAAAATGGCTGAGAGGTTGAGAGGGTGCATAGTAGGAAAAAGGAGTAGAGGGTAACCTCGTCAGTGGTGTAACCGCAGAGGGCGCCCTGCCAGGCTAATCAGTTACCCACTCAAGGATGTCTTCAACACTGGAGGTGGTGGGTCAGGACCAGTCTTGGAGCAGCTCCTGTGTGAAAGATGTGAAGCGGGACTACAAGAGTGAGAGGATAATCGCTGGGGGAAAGATCATCCGACTGGGATTGGGGGGAGAGTGGAGGTCCTGGAGATTTTCAATTCTGTGGGTCCTAAAATGGACAAAGTGTAAGGAGATGTCTGGTTGGAGATTGAGCAGAGGGACCCCTCTGGCTTGGTGTTAACAGATTCTTTGGGTGAAGTCTCAGGTGCTAGTTTTACCAAGGATAATTGATACCAAGGGGCCTTTCCTAGTACTTTTACTGCCATGCGGGTGGTGAGAAATACTATATAAGGCCCTGCCCAGCATGGTGAGAGGGGCTTTGGGATTTAGAACATAATATTCACTTGCTGTCCTGCGCTCACTTTAAAGTCTGAGGGGCTGGTGGGGAAAGGATGAGGTAATAGAAGGCTGGCCTGTTCCTGAAGAAGATCCCTAATGAGCGAAAGAGTAGGGCGATACTGGCCTAAAGGCGATGGACTGGAAGGGAGAGGTGTGAGGGTGAGGGTCTGCCATACAAGACTTTGCGTGGGGCAGCTCACAGGCAAGTGAGTAACTGGTGGGGAGGCCAAAATGAAGGATGATTTCTGAGGTGACAGCATGCGTTACTGCTGTAGCATCCTCTGAAGTGCAGGAAAAAGCCTCAATCCAACCTGTAAAGGTATCTACTAAGGTTAGAAGATAGCGTGTCCTCTTATGGGGAAGCATGTGAGTAAAGTCAATTTGCCAATCCTTGCCAGGAGTGTATCTTCTGGCCTTGTTGGTGTTAAAGGACTGAACTTGGAAGCTACCTTGATTGGAGCAAAGAGTACACAAAGGACAATTTTGAATGATTTGTTTAATAACTTGGCCATGTGGGGAGAATAATATAAGGGCTGAAGAAGGCATAGTAGGGGTTCATAGCTTATATAAACTGAATTATGGAAATCTGAAATGATTTGCTTAGCTTTTGTGGTAGTGAAGACATAGTGACCAGAGAGAGTATAACAGTTGTCCTTCCTCTGCGCCCTCAACTGTTGGAGGTGTTGTATTCCTTGGGGTGTGTATTGGAATAAGGGCATAGGGACCATGAGAAGGACCTGAACAAGAAAAGAAGAGGGGGGGCCTGATGATTGAGCAGCCTGTTTTGTGGTTAGATCCACCAGTTTGTTTCCCTGGGCTATGGGGTCATTGGAAGTTTGGTGTCCTCTGCAATGTATAACCCCAACCTCCTTTGGGAGCTGTGCAGCCTCAATAGCTTGTGTTAGATTTACTGTGGTGTAAACTGCCCAGTGAGTGGGAGTAGGGGTTGCTCTCCCATCTATGAACTGTGTAGTGGGATGCCGGGAGATGTGTGGAAAGGAATTTAGAAAGAGGTCTAAAGCCTCCCTGCAATTATGTTTAAGGGTCATGAGTGTTTGGGGATGAGAGTGCCTGGATTTAAGGGAGGGCAATGTTTAAAAAAAAAAAAAACTGGGAGTTTTCAATGAATGTAAGGTGAATAAGTTGTAGGTGGGAAGGGGAGAAAATTGACCTGGTCTTATGGCTGAGAAGGTCTTGACTGTTGTCCAAAAGTTAGTTTTGGCCTTGGGCAGCTCCTGCCAAGGCCCATAAACATGGGGCCCATCCTTGAGCTGTGGGGAGAAAATATCTCCTGTCTTTTGTCCCAAAACCCCAACTACCAATCCTTGGGTTTTAGTGATGTATAGAATAAAAGGATGAGATAGGCTTGGGAGAGATAGAGCTGGGGCTGTGAGGAGAGCAGGTTTTAATTGCTGGAAGGGAGAATGAATGGGCTTTGTGGGATCTAAAGAAATGGCACGATCCCCTTTGGCTGCCCCATAAAGTGGTTTTGCTGGCACGCTAAAGTTAGGAATCTATAGGCAAAGATACCCTGCAAGCCCCAAGAAAGAAAGGATTTCACTTCACCCTCTGTGGTAGGAGTACGGAGTTCAGAAATTAAACTCTTGTGACCCACCATTATTTCTCTGGTGTTGGCGGTGAGGTGGGCTCCCAAATAGGTGACTGATAGAGCAGAAATTTGGGCCTTGCTGGGAGACACTCGGTATCCCCTGGAGGCCAGGAAATCAAGGAGAGCAACAGTGTGGGCCTGTGAATCCTCATAGGAGGGGCTGCAAAGGAGGAGGTCATCTACATATTGTATCAAAGTGCTAGAGGTTGGGGGAAGTTCAGATAAGTATTGAGCTAAGGCCTGACTGGAAAATTGGAGGCTATCCCAAAACCCCTGAGGTAGTACTGTCTGGGTGAGTTGTTGGGAATGACACATATCAGGATTAGTCCTGTACTAAATGGTATGAGCTGTTAGGCTTTATAAATGGAAGGACTGGTGTATTAAAAGGCTCATGGGTAGGCTGTAAAAGATGAGAAGGAAGTAGTTTGTGTACCATGGGTTTTAAGCCTTTTAGGTGTTTGTTAGCAATGGGGTATGTGGGACATTAGGGAACAAAGAGGGGTTCAGCAATTTAACAAGGATGGTGCATAGCAATGGAGGGAGAAGTGTCTCCTACTATGGTATTAAACTTGTCCAAGGGTGAGGGTAAGGTGGAAGCCTCAGGGGCCAGGTCTGGGGCGGCCTGTAACAGGAGTATTGTAGCTGGAGTTAAAGAGTTTAGGGTAAGAGTAGCTTTGAATTTGAAAAGAATGTCCCATCCCAGTAAGGGGGATGGGCATTGAGGCATTATTAAGAATTTGTGTGTGAGTTGGGTGTGATGTAGGGTGCAGGAAAGGGGTTTAGTGATCATGGGTGGTATTCTGATCCTTTGACCCCTGCTATTGTGATAGAGGATGGGTTGTTGGTCCTGCATATTCAGGAAGGGTAGAGTAAATGGCCCCTGTATTTATGACAAAACAGATTGGCTTACCTGCCTCAA